CATTAATCGAGTGTAACTAGGGTTATTGATAGTGTTTGGTATACACAATAATTCATGACGTCAAAACAGTTTTGGTAACTGTAACAGTTTTGGTAACTGTAAGAAAGCGCTATATTAGTAGATAAAGGCCTATGATAAATATATATAAGTGATCACGCGTAGTAATAATAGTTATAAGAAAATTAAGATAATATCTTGAGTAAAACATTGTATTTTCAATATATGTATTGTATATTTGTATTGACATTTAAAGGGGACCTATCATGCAAAATGCACTTTTGTACGTCTTTTATACATGAATATGTGTCCCCGGTGTTCCAGGGAACTCACCAAGTGTCAGAAAACACAACCCTCTCTATTTTCCTCCATACCCAAATCTCTAAAAAAGGGACTGCAACGGACCTGATAAAAACTGATCCAGATTTGAACACTGTCCTGACATCAGGACAGTGGCGCTACGGCTATTGGGCCAACTCCACCAATCAGGAGGAGACAGCCACGGCCATTGCCGTGCGAAAGCGCTGGAGACGCTGTAGTACATATGCCAGGCCTGTAGATGGTGCTGTTCTCACATAATCTGCCCTTGCAAAAACAGAGCTAAAAAATGTCAAATTGAGCAAAATGAAGCATGGCTAAAATGCATGATCTGTTTGATATTTTGAAAAAAAAAAGTATAAATATGCCTTATATAGGTATGGTCCTACACTATATTATTCAAATATAGCATGATAGGTCCACTTTAAGTGAACTAATTTCAGGTGCTGTTGATTTGACTGATTTCCTGTATTTAAAGTGGGATTTGTAGTTATTTTGGGCAATTATATTTCTATATAAAAGATAAAAAATGGGAATGTTAAATAGTAAAGAGGTAATTTTGGAGTATGAAGGGTGTGCAAAGATAATGTGCGACAAGCATGGTGCTTGGACATGTGAATATTTAAAGGGCCCATGTCATGCTTTTCCGGTTATTACCCGTCCCCTTGTGTGTTATGAAGGTTTTTATGCATGTACGTAAACGGTCTGCATAGTCAAAAACCCTCAAAGTACACCTTGTAGCGAGTAAAACTCTAACACAGTCTATGCTGCCCAAAACGCCTCGTTGGAGATTTCTCATTTTCCATTGTTTACTTCCTGGGTACTGTGACTTGTGAATACCCAGAGGCCACACCCTCTGCCAGCATTTCACGAAACAAAGCTTCACAAACCTTTCAGCGATTCATGCCGGATATGTACAGCGTAGGGCACTGAAGAACGATGCTGTTCCTACTTTGTTTGGACCAGCGGGAGATTCGGGTACACAACCTGTAAGTATTCATTGTTGTTTTTGTATTTATGATGTTTAAAACAAACAAGGTATCTACCACGACTGTTTAAATGGGTAAACGTTTTTCGGGCTGCTAAGCTAAATGCTCTCCGCAGACCTATTCTCACAGCATTATAAACCTTTTTCTTACTCAATATCAAGCCACACTTATTGTTTTTACTTCGGCTGTGAGTGTTTGTGTGTGCTCAGGATGAGTTTAGCTTGTTCTCGCTGTATCGCCGCTCCTCGCAGCAGATCGCAGCAACTAGCCTCTCAACGTCCCGACCAATCAGAGCACACTGGGCTCACAGGGAGGGGGGGACAGGGGCTCTAACAAGCCGTTTAGGACAGAGAGTGAATACCGGTGAATACACATACTTTACAGAGATGCTGTATGAGAAACCAATGTGAGTTTGGAAAATTGCACAATTTAAATCTATTCTAGTATACCTCAACAATGAAATTATGATCAGTATAAATGGCCATGACATGGGCCCTTTAAATATGTGGGTGAAAAATGGTTTTCCTGACAATGGCAGTTTAAGTCTAAATCAGTTAGAAAAAATTAAGACAGGGTTTAGAAAAAGTAGAAAATAAACACAAAACAAATACGATGTGGGATTAATCAAAAATACACCTGCTTTGGTAGTAACTCCTAAATCCGACTACAGACCATGCAAAGCCCAGTACCCGGTTAAACAGGAAGCCATAGATGGGAGTAATTGTGCCATGTCCAGACTCACCTTGTCGCACACCTATATTCCCTGTTAAAAAGGCTCCTCAAGAAGGTCAACCCACCTCTTGGCGCTTTGTTCAAGATTTAAAAGCAGTAAATGAGGCAGTGCATGCTAGAGCACCAGTAGTACCTGATCCACATCATATTTTGACTCAAGTTCCCAGTAACAGCACACATTTTTCTGTTGTTGATCTGGCAAATGCTTTTTTTGTGTACCGGTACACCCAGACTCACAATTCTGGTTTGCATTTAAATTGAATGGGAAGTCCTACACATTCACACGTATGCCTATGGGTTACTGTGAATCTCCATCTGTCTATTCTGCAGCATTGCACAATAATTTGGAGGAATTTGAAGCCCAAAATGGCAGTGTTCTCATCCAGTATGTGGATGATCTTTTACTTTGTTCAGCAAATCAGGAAGCTTGTGAAAAAGATACTGTTGCTCTGTTACAATTTTTGGCAGAGCAGGGGCATAAAGCAAGTTTGAATAAACTACAGTGGGTGAAGGAAGAAGTGATATTCCTTTGGCACCACATTTCTAAGAATGGGAAGCAACTTTCCCTACAAAGAGTAGAAGCCATTTTGAAAATTCCAAAGCCAAATACAAAGAAACAAATTATGACATTTTTGGGCATGACAGGCTATGCTGAAATATCACAGCCTCTACAGGGCATGAGACATGACCATGGACTGAGACCAAATGACCTTTTGACCTGGACTCCTGAGGGAACGGATGGTTTTGTGAAACTAAAATAAGCACTGACAGTGACACCAACTCTGGGTCTACCAGACTCAGCTCGACCTTTTACCCAGACAGTTTGTGAAACGAATGGATTTATGTCTTCAGTATTGCTGCAGGAACATGGAGGAAAATTAAGGCCTGTAGCATACTTTTCATCAAGATTAGATCCAGTTGCAGCAGGTTTACCATATTGTTTGAAAGCAGTAGCAGCTGCTGCTTTAGCAGTACTAGCCTCAGAGGGTTAGTGGGCTATCAGGAGTTACATTTGTTAGTACCACATGCTGTTTCCTCTATCCTTTTAGAGCAGAAAACAAGTCAGCTTACACCCGCTAGAATGATGCACTATCACAATGTGTTGCTTTCACTACCTAATGTTCCAACAATGTTCACATCAGTAGATGCACAGTATTGAATCCAGCTACATTGCTTCCTACAGAGGAAGATGGTGAACCACATGATTGCCTGGCTGCCATTTCTGAAATATGTACACCAAGACAGGATTTGAAAGCTGTCCCTTTGTCCAATCCTGATCTTGTATTATATGCTGATGGTTCAGGCAGTAAAGACCCACTGACAAATGAGAATATTGTAGGATATGCAGTAGTCTCTGATCAAGACATACTGGAGTCTAACCGCCTGCCAGGGCATCTCTCAGCACAAGCAGCTGAAATATATGCATTAACAAGAGCTTGCATTTTAGCAGAAGTGAAAATCGTGACTATTTACACAGATAGCAGGTATGCTTTTGGAGTGACACATGATTTTGGGACATTGTGGACAATGAGAGGCTTCTTAACTTCCACAGGGAAAGATATAGCACATGCAATCTTGGTTTCTAATCTACTTGATGCTATTGTACTCCCACAGGAGGTGGCGGTTTGCAAATGCTCATGTCTGAAGACTCTGTTTCTAGGGGAAATGCAAGAGCAGACTCAGCGGCAAAGGCCGCTGCAAAAGCGCCTTCATCTACTGCTTTGCAAATCTCCAAAGTAACCCTAACGCCTTCAGTTTCTTTTTCAGATGTAAATTTGTAAATAATGTTTGGTATGGACCTAATGGTAATCCATGTTTACCTAAATGCTTATCTCCTTTTTTAGCTAGGTTGACACATTCAAAGGATCATGTGTCAAAAACGGGGATGGTAGCTACAGCAAATAACACAAGGCTTCTCAAATTATTCACACAACCTTTATCCAAAGCAACTTACATACTCAATACTATGTGGACAGTCCCCACAAGAGCAATTTGGGGTGAAGTGTCTTGCCCAGGGACACAACGACACTCTGACTGCAGTGGGGTTTGAACCTGTGCTCCCCTGATCCAAACACCAACGCACTAATCCACTGCGCCACGCCTCCCTATGGTTATGGTGTAGGTACTTTTACGGCTCACACTACAATAAGGTTAAAACATTGTGGGAGATAATTCTGTTAAAGATTGACTTTGGCAGGGCTTTATAAAGTTGTTCTCAAACTCGTGTCAATTTCATCACTGCAGTCACAGTAAAGGTCTTTAGTTAGGTCAGCCAAATGTCTCTTGAGCGACATAGTAAGATTAGTGGAGACTGAGATAAGAAATATACTCCCCATGTTGTGCATGTTTTATTGATTTGACTACAGTGTTGAAGAAGTGCTTTTTAATTCTTCCTGTTTGTCCACTCTAATATTTTAAGAGAAGAAAAACTCATTCTGTACATTTACATAATGTTTCTAAACTCCAAAAAACACACACCCTTAAATATTTGCATTTGCTTTATGTTTACCCAAAAGACTATAAAAACATCATATTCTGTTTAGTGTATCTTAATGACACGCAATAGTTTGATTGTTTAATATTAACTTTGAATATCAAAGGTCTCGTTTATACAGTATTGGCAGTCAAAGAAAGGTCAAAGATTGAGTGATAAGAGGTTTGTAAAGATAACATCAGAGCAAATTTAAAGTTGTGGAAAATTGTCTTCCAATATGTTGCAATTTGTTTGACTAGTATTTTTGATTTGTCTCAGCTTGGTGTACAGGGAAGCACAAAACAGACATGATTGTATTCAAGTGACATTTAAAAAATATATTTCAGTTCTAAGTATTGCATGCTTAGTTTATGCAGTCCTGCACTGATGACCATCCCCCTTTGCAAACAGATATACAGGGGAAATATATATGACATATGGTTCGATTTAATGGTTCTGTTAAGGACAAAAGCATCTTCCAATCAGTGGGTACTGCCTTTAAAAAAATTGAGCTTTACACAGCCACATCAGCATTGAGATTAGATGAGGAGATAAGCGAGCTCGGTTTAAAAGGAGGGGCAAACTTTGAGTACGACACTTCTTGCTGCAGACTTGTCCAGCTCACCCTCACAGCCACCATGACTTTCAACGGCAACTGGAAGATTGAACGCAATGAAGACTATGAGAAATTCATGGAAAAAATGGGTGAGTTATATCAAACCAGGCTGATTACATGCTATATCATTTAAGCAAATCATTTTAAATATGTGGAATTTGATGCATTGGTTTAAAAAAAAAAAAAATCATTTTTAATGCATGTAACATATGTAACATTAAGCTGTCTGTGGCTCTTTTTCTGCTGTAACAATATACATTTCCCCTCTGTGGGACTAATAAAGGTATTCTGATTCTGATTCTGATGAACATGAACTCTATGTGTTATGAGATATAATGTACGTACTGTATAACAGTCAAGAAAGCACTGATGATGTTTTAATTTAATCAAGATCTTTGTGTTTCTGTGTGAAAATGTCAGTTGTGCATCAAACTGATAGTCATGCATGTGTTTTATTTAATCACTTTAAAAAAGTTATTTGTTAAAGTGTGTCCTTAACTGCTCAAATAGATGGCCAAATACTGGAGCTTAAGTCTCACTGAACATGTTTGCCTTTTGACTTACACTCTACAAATAATACACAATCAAAGGAACTACATGTGCTTGAAAAGTAATTAAATCCTGTCAAACTTCCTCTGATTGTTCCTCATATTTTCTATGTGTTTATTTATAGGAATTAACATGGTGAAGAGGAAGCTGGCTTCTCACGACAACCTCAAGATAACCATTGAACAGACTGGAGACAAGTTTCACGTCAAGGAGACCAGCGCCTTCCGCACCCTGGAAATAGACTTCACCCTGGGGGTCACCTTCGAGTACAGCCTGGCCGACGGAACAGAACTATCAGTAAGAAAATTATTGGATGCACCTTTAACATCATAGCACTTTATAGTTAACATACTCCAATTCACTCCTATTACCTACGTTTTAGTCATTAAGTGTAATCATTGGTTGAGTTCTTAATACTATAACATAAGCTTGGTATTTCGATCACTTCAAATTTTTGAGCTGCAAGTAGGAGTTCATTTGTTAGCTCAAGGCTTGACTTATGACTTTCATTGTGGAACCCTTGTGCCCTGCGGATCTTTACTCACTACCGCAAACAGTGCCAGTCATAAAACTGGCAACCTTCTGCAAAACTTTTCACACCTAGTATTCCTTTTAAATAAGCTTTATGTTTCACCCCACAGGGTTCATGGGCCATGGAGGGAGACATGTTGAAGGGGGTCTTCAACAGGAAGGACAACGGAAAGCCACTGACAACAACCAGAATCGTCCAAGGAGATGAACTTATACAGGTGTGGTGAATTTATATTATGCATGCAAACTACGACAACAATCCACAGTATATAACAAACACTTTGATCAGAAGGGATACCTGTCAGAATCTGATGTCTATATGTCATATCTATTCCCTTATATGTTATGGATAAGGACTTAAAATGCAGAAATTCATTATTAATCAACCCCCTGATTACTCAGGCAGAAACTATAAAGCAAATATATTAACAGAATCTGACCTGATCTTTTCTCACCAGAGCTACAACTACGAGGGCGTGGACGCAAAGAGGATTTTCAAGAAGTATTAGACCAAACTAATCAACATACCTTGAAAATAAGATGTTTGACATCATGATTACATACAGTATTGTGTTGAATTTCATTTTCTTATACCAACACATCCTGTAAAACAAGCACTACTTGTAATGCCCAGAAAGTTTATGAAACATATTTGAATGTCTCGTGATTTTGATACTTGCAGTAATAAAGCCATACTGTACCTACCTTTTTTCTGTGTTTCTTTTTCTTCAGTTTTATGTTGAAATTATATTTATTTGTGATAATCTGTGGATGTTTTTGTGGAGTTAAAAAACATACACAGTGAACTGACTAATTTGAGAGTGATACAATAATTTAAACTTTATTCAACAATGAATACAAATAAATATATATTATCTACAAAAATATAAAGCGCAGACAGATTTAATGTGTCTTTAAATTAATCTGTTAGTACACAAGTAATGAAGCATTCACTGAAGCACAGACAACTCAATTCAAAAGTAAATTCAGGCCAAATCTGAACCACACACAGACGTATGACATGAGGATTCAGTGATACCCAGGGGGCAAAACCCAATTTTTTAGGGAAATCAGACATGGAATGTTTTAAAGGTTGTCCACCAGAAATGATATCTAGGACCTTGAAGGATCACAACCTGGGTGGACAACCCGGTCAACTAGCTGGGTCAATATCACTATAAAGTAACTTTGGTGTCCCCATCAGAATCACTCAGTTATCATGAAAATGTAGCAGAATAATGAAACTCTGAGGTCTTATTATAAAAGGCCAAACATTTACACACATATCAACAATACAATGATAAGTCTCTTGAAATGTGTTTCCTTCATTTTATACCTTATTTCTTCATTGGATGTACGTGATTTGTCCCACACACTACTCTGCTAACTACAGTGTGTGTAATAAGTGGTTAAATTATACTACATGAAAAAAATGATATGGTTTTATTGTCCACAACGAGTTATTTGATAAAACGAGTCATTTTGATCATGTATATTCTATTTTCATAATAATATTGAGCATTTTTCATGTGTCCCTGACATTTGCTGTCCACCCTGTCATTAAGGGGTAACTGCCCCATAAAAAACCCTCTGATGTTTTCAGTGACATTACTACCACCATTTTGTCTTTCCTCAATGGAGGCTGAGGCATTGGTTAGTTGCAAAGTAAGTTTTTTAACTTATATTTCAAAATTGTAATCATATTATGTGTGTAGTTGGATGTTGTCAAGCTTAACATGTCCACTCTGTCATAGTGAAATGTCAATTAATATAAAAACCTTTCAGAAATTCGAAATATATTTGTTAAACAGTAGAGTACACAGTCACCTTGCTAACTGAAGGTCGACCATGTGCTCATTAAATGCTAATATTAGCCAAAAATGTCCACCCTGTCATTGTCCATCCTGTCAGCAAGCCTTCCATAAATAAATGGGGAAGTCTAAAATGCACCGTATGGTGATATTGACTCTACTGGAAAGCTACAGTGAGGGTCCAAACAATGCAACCTCTATATGCTCCTGGGAACCGAGGAAAAAAAGTGTCTTCCAATTTTTTTGTATTTTTTTTTTTTAGGGTTGAAAAAACATCTTGCAATTTAGACTTTTTAAAATTAAATTAAATTTTAAATGTTACAGTATGTCCACTTCAGAGGACGTCAAGACCATATTATTGTGAAAAGTCCGCCATAATTAACAGATAAACTATAACACATTATGCTTATAGAGTGATCTTAATACAAGAATGCATTCACCTTTATTTAAACAATAAATAAGTCATTCATCTGAACATTGCTGTATATTTGATCACTAAATAACTAGTTTGGTTTTTGGTGAATGCTGCCAAATCTGCAAAGACTTTGTAATCAATATACTGGGAAAAGTACCTCATTGGACTCCAGTCGGCACGGGCTGTAGGGTCATCTTAACTAGATTTATGGATGTGTTCTCCAGTTGACCATGCTCATAGGGACACACTTGGCATTCCTGAGGCATTCTCATTTTTCATGGCTCCACTTAAAATAAAAACAACAATAAGACATACGTGCTACTCTTGGCCCACAGAGGGCCATGTCTTTCCTGCTCGTCCCTATCTGTCTCTATGTCTGTATCTGTGCGCTCATGGAGCCTCCTGCATCTTTCCCCCCCTTCTTCTTGACCCTCTTCTATTCCAGGTGTGAAAGCCTCATCTCTCTCATCATCTGAGAGCTCAAAATCTGAATCTCCTTAACTATCTGGTACAGAAAAGGTCTGATCCAGTTCTGTCTCCTGCAACAGTCATTAAGTCCATGAAGATGGTCCTGATGTCCACTAGAATGGACATTTTTAAAAGAACTGTTGTTTCCTCCATACTCTCTACAGTGTCCAGAATGAGGGAGTTGACAGAGTTGTCATACATGCCAATGACACCAACATCATTACCACATGCCTGTACTATGGTGAAACGCACCTCAGTGATCTAACAGAGTTGTGGGTGAGAACAGGCCAGAATGCATACCTGCCTATACATGAAATGGTTGTGGCACTGGGACCTTCACAGTGTTGTGCCATGCCCTTCATCCACAGTCTGAGTGGTAGAGATACCACGAGTTATCCATATTTCACTGGCAAGAAGGCATGGTTCAAGAGCAGCACGAGTCACTCTGGACATACCTGCAGAGTGAAGAGTTTGGTGAGAGCCCTGCCGATGCCATAACAGATGACCTCCTCAATCAGGCACGAGACCTCACCATAACTGTGTATACATCCAAAGCTGATCACTTTGAGGGCGTTCTGATCTGGGCAAACTGAGAGCATACAAGTTCCTGAACAACAAATTGACACTCCTAAATCTTCATGCCACAAGTCATTTTCTGAGTCACAGCTGCTGTCACTGCTCTCAAGTGTGGCAGTGTGTATCCTTCTGCATGTGATTGCCAGTCCTTGGCAACAGCACCCTATATACTGTAGCATGGAACTGCCTTCTTTGCACAGGAACAGTTCTTCTGATAGCCTTTGAGACATCCACATGAGATTGTCTTGTTCATCGACAAAGGCCAAGCTGGCTTTGTAACCTACTTGCTGCAGGTCTCCCTTGAAAAAGAGATCAATGATCTCAATGGGACCTACCTGGTTAAATAAAGGTTTGAAATGAAATGCAATGAAAAGTAGATGGTACCGGAACTACATGTCCATTGTCCAGAGACCATCCAAATTCTGTGCATGGCAGGATTTCTGGCTTGGCGATGTGTGCGTTCTTGTCAATGATGGTTGACAAGAACATGTTCAAAAGTTAACATGATGGTTTTCCCGAGACCTCACCATAACTGTGTATACATCCAAAGCTGATCACTTTGAGGGTTCTGATCTGGGCAAACTGAGAGCATACAAGTTCCTGAACAGAGAATGCATTTCTGCTGCACCTGAAAAGGTTTTCTATGTTATAAGACAAGGCAAACCGAGTTAAACGTATCTCTCTTATGGAAGTTGTTCCAGATAAGTTGTTAGTGTCAAATAAATACCCTTTTATTATTTGTGCAAATCAATGTCTTTGTTCTTATGCAAAATATCCTATTGTGATCATGAAATAAACAAAATTCCTTCTGGCAAAACATTTATTTCACTTTTCACATACTCTCTTCTTAGTTATTAACTGAAAATTGGCTTTGCCCATCAACAGATACGACACAATTATCAGAAGTTGAACACAACATAATCATTCACATGGCCCAGAACTAGAAAAATTTGAATTTCTTAAGAAAAAAAGGGAAAAAAGTAACCTACACTGAATATACAGTACAAATGTTTTCAATGTACACATGGTGGTATATTCATGGTAGTGTCCCAGAAAGCTTTTTGCACACATAATAAAAGGGTATTGATTTGACATTAACAACTTGATGTCAACTTCCAGATAAGTTTAACTCGGTTTGCCTTGTCCTATAACATAGAAAACCTTCAATTAAAGGGTTTTGCAAAGAAAGTGGTGGCCATTTTGAATTTCGCTGCCTGTAGCTTTCCAGTAGCTAGTTCACCGGGTTGTCCACCCAGGTTGTGATCTTTGAAGGTCCTAGATATAATTTCTGGTGGAAAACCTTTTACAACATTCCATGTCTGTAAAATGACTTTGCCACCTGGGTATGATGAATAGTTCATTCAACCCTAACACATCAGCCAGTAACTTATCAGATCAAATCAGTGACATCCTGATGGGGAAAGTTCACCTTTGTTCTTGAGTGTTGATGCAATACAGCCTAATTAAGTTCTGTCCCTGTATGTTTAGTATAAGATAAAGTAAATACTTTGATGCGATGCCAACTGTGACGTTATGTGACACAGGTCAAAAATACTCTTTGTCAAACAGGCCCCTCGATTACGTAAAGCCTTACTTCGACTGACGACTTTGAATCATGGGTGCATGAGGAGAAACGATTATCAGCTTCCTTTTTCAAGTTTGCACGCAATCAGACACAGAGGCATGCAACACATTGAGGCTCTTTTAAGCTTATAATCACAGATTTTCCCATTTTCTGCAGCTGAAGTTTAAACATTTCAAACTTCTGCTTATTGCACCTGGAGGCAGAGTGAACAGTGAGTTTTCAGCTGTTGCCCTTTTAGCTTCCAAGTCTAAAAAGGGCTTTTAGGAATACTGCAACTGGAACACATCCCCTCCTACCTTTTACACAATAACACACAGGCACACACAGTACAATGGTGCACACAGAGGGGTGTCATCCGATATGTCACTCACTACCAGCATTGCATATTTAAAAAGTATAGCATGACATCCTTCGTCCCTTTCAATAATCACCTTCAGTCCCTAACTATGGTTTCACTCACAAAACACTTGTCCCAATGAAAGATGTCAAGGCACAACTGAAGACAGATTGTTCAAAATGTAAAATAGAACTTGTGTGACTTGATGAAGAAAATAAATTATAACTAATATAATCAATAGTCACAAATGGATAGTAAAACGATTAGTGAACTAATCAATTATTTGGTTTTCAAGGGCCAACCGATTGTTGTTTAAATGGTTTTAGCTTCTTAAATATTGATATTGTATCCTTTCTCTGTTTTATATCGTATTCAACTGATTACCTTCAGTGTTTGGACTGTCAAAACCAGACATTTAAAGATGCCACCTTGGACATTTAAAAACTAGGATTTGTATTTTCACTTATTTCTGATATTTTCGAAAATTATTCATTTTAAAAATCAGCAAAATAACTAATAATCAAATAATCAAAAAAACCTTTGAATGTGAGATGTCATTAAGATAATCTGGTTAATATACTCTAATTGAAATTCATCTAAATCAATAGTGTAGTGGTTTCTTTTCCCTTGAATATATTAGATATCTTATTATAACAGTAAAATTAGTGATTTATTATTACTACAACACAATTTTGTGTAAAGGTATTCTGAAACTATGTTGTTTTATGTAAATTACAGGTGAAGGTGTCCGAAAATATTTAACACTATCCTTTAGTGTCAGAAGGCACTAACACAACACACACAAACTGCAGATTTAGTGACAAAATGTGTGCTTTTAAAATCGTTGAAAAATATCTGGACAAAGGTTGTTAAAAAATAAGCATAAATGACAGGATGTTAAGGAGAAGACTTGGTGAAAGAAAACATTGATATTAATATTGATGCATAATCATAAGTATGTGTCGTTGCATGAGCAAGAGAGGAGAATCAACGTTTCCAAATCCACTGTAGTTACAAATAGTTATTTAATGAATTGATTTTATTACAATTAAATAAAATCCAATAGAATTGATGTTTGTTGGACTCAAAGTCCATTATTATTATCATGCTCATGCTTATGCTGTACACACAGCTAGTAAGACTTTGTAAAGGCCACATGCAGGTTTCAGAACATTAGTCTTACGAACAAGAATCACTGTTGTGTATTATGGTCAATATCAGATAGGCATATTAGTTATAATGGCATCATTATGAAAATACCTGCAAATACAGACCTGTTTAAATCCGTCTACTTTAAAAGGAAGACTGAAAAAATACAATTTGACATCACTGTGAATTACAAAAAAGGATTACAAGAATCAGCACAATTGAAGGTAGAACACACAAGGTGACATGGTGGTACAGTATACAATGACCTACTGAATAACACAAAGGCTGCCCCAACTTCAGTGCATCATAGCCATCAAACGTTAGGATTTGTAGGCTGCAAGAAACTGAACACAGCCATCCCTAATCACATGTTGTGAAATATGTTTACATACTATTGAATGAACCTTAAAAGTGACTGCAGTGGGGCAGCCTTCAGCCATTCATTAACACAAAAAACCTTGTAAAATAACTGATAAAGATAACAGTTACAACAAATCAGTAACTGAAGAAACACAAGTGTTGCAATGTCTGTTCCCTGGTGAGCTAAAGCCCTAATGTGCATATAACAGGTGATCTACCCAGATAGTCCTCCTTACACCTTAAACCTGCTGTGGATGATGCAAACCTGTAGGTATTATTTCATTGAATGACATCATATTCAGTTTTTTATTCCTTAACACTTTTCTCGTCAACATGCTGTAATCTGTCACCACACATCTTTCACCTTTGTATTATTACTGTACAGACCACAGTATTATCAGTCTGTGGCTCACCATAATCTCTCAAGCCTTTCTTTAAATACATTGATATATTCGCAGCACAGAAATACTAGACAAATAAAAAAATAAACATTTTAAACTTGACATAAGATGATTTTAAAGAATAATAAACACTCAAGAAACCTTTGTGCAAACTCAAAACAGTACAGATTTTGGTTAAAACAAAATCTTCTTGCAGCAATACTGCGGGACAATGGAAGACAGTACTGTATATGTGATAGCTGATAATCCTTCAAACTACACGCAACAGCATTTAAATCAGGTTTTACTTATGTGACAAGCTTGCATAAATAAATTCCACTCAATTTGGAGAAGACGCGCTGCAGGACATATCTTCATTCTGTAAACTCTTTGGCATCCAGTTAGCACTCTACTGACCACTGTCCATCCTTGTAAACAAACTTTACCAAGTAACACTCATAAAAAACCACGTTCATCCAGTCCTTTGGCTGTCACTGGGTTCCATTTTGCAGTGGGTTTATTGCTATTATGGCCTGTAAAGAAAAAAAAGAATAATCTTGTTTAAAAAATGTTTTTTGATTCCCCCTCTGCGTACATTAACACCACAACAAAGAATACAACTGAATACCGTCAGGTGGGAATGGGTTATGTAGATAAAACCATGTTATATGTTATTTCATATGGTTTTTAGATATATAGTGAAATAGTGCATTTTCTTGAAAATCAATTAAGAAATAGTGAATGGATTAAAAATGACCAGACAGGAATCAAGGTACTTCCTTACATTTAGGGATGCACAATATCTTTTAGGCCAATAAATTATCAGCCAGTAACGGAAAATGATATTGTTATGTATTATTCCCATATTAAAAGAAAGCCACTAAATGATTGGCCTTTTAATCAAAGCCAAATTGCTTTCATTGAATTAACCAGAGCAGCGTCTACACCAGTGCTTCTCAAAGTGTGGTCCCTAGTGGTCCGTGAGTATATTGGTAACATTTCACATTTGAAATAAATAAATGTATTTAAGTTTTCCACACTCTCGCGGGAATATCTCCGCAATGGAGCGAGAAAGTTTCACTTTCGATTGCATGATATAGCTCAGCGCAACACCTTCATCACACATATTGCCACTTGTTTGTACCATTTTCAGGCGATTTGTAATCTGTTCTAGAAAAACTATGTGTTTTGGGATATTTGTGGAGTTAGGTGGTCCGCGATTGTTTTTTTATTGGTTAAGTGGTCCTTGGTATGAAAAAGTTTGAGAAACACTGGTCTACACACTCGGATACATCAGGTGGTGGTACGCACCCTTTAAAACGTTTTTGCGATCTGCCAATTAAACACAGAGAGGATCAACAAGCAGATAGAGCCAAACCAATATGGACGTTTTGCACAGTTTCAGAGGAGATAACAAAATTGAAATGTGGAATATGAATTTATCCATCCTCTGTCGATATTGTGCATCCCCAATTACATTGATGCAGAAATCCTAAAAAAATCTGATTTTGCCATACCATAGTCCTGATGATTGAATTGCAACATTGTCCTCAATGGCCTGAAATAACCACGTATTAAGGGAACAGCTTCTAAAGCTGCTAACGGTTGAATGTATATAGATATATATAATCTCACATTATATACAGTGTATTATCATAAGGGTTAGCCATTCAGGTTTGCATATTAGAGAGGCTTACTTGTTTCAGGTCTGGCTTTTGGCACATCTTGTGAGTATGTGTCAGTGGGGAGTGTGTGGCTGGTATCTCTGCGCTCAGTCACAACCACTGTCCGCGGCATCGTGGCTGAGAGGACAAGAGGCCTCTGGTTGTGGTACTTGAGACGGTATGTTTCCGTCATACAGTTATCCACAGTGAAGTATGTTGTCAGAGAAACCTCTTGAGCTGGCGTTGCTTGTTCCAATCTGCATCCGGTCAGTCTTTCCTCACTTTCACATGACGACGGGGTACTCCTCTCTGGGTCAGAGCCCGACTTGGAGCTTGCATCTGAGAAGGTTCTGAGGCCTGAAATGTCTGGCCTCCTGTGAAGACTAACAAAAGACGCGGATGAAAGACGAGGACTCGATGGAAAGGGTTCTTGATGAAGCATCCTCGGACGAAACACTGCGTGGCTAGTTTCCCCCTGGTGAGGAGGGATCCGCGGGGTGGTCCGAAGGTGAGGGGACCCTGTGGTGCCGAGCTGCCGCTGAGAGTTCAGTTGGAGAGGTTCTGCAGTCACATTGCTGGGAGGGTGGTAGGGCAGAGTCATGGGAGGACACTGGGATTCAGAGGCCTCGCTGTTGCTGGAGCGGTATGAGTTTTCTCTGTCCTCGGGCTCAGAGAGAGCCAGATCATCGGAGCTGTTCCATTCGGAGCTGCTGGTTTTCGTAAAGTGCCTCTGGGCTGTACTTTCCACAGAGTGCCCTCGACAGTTTGTCAGATCCTGCTGCTCACACTGCCTGTTATCTGAACCAGCGGAGTCCCTCTCTGAGGAAACTGCTTTTCTGGAGGTACTAGTGTTCTTTGATTTCCGTCTACGAGAGAATGATGGAAATGATAGTTTAATAAAATGGAAATCCAATGTATGAGTCCTTGTATGTACATATTACCACAAGTTATATATAATTCATATCAAAGGGCACTACCTCGAACTTGGACTGCACTTTAGATGTGAATGTGAAACTTGGTCATGGTTCTTTCCCTGAGGTTTGGGTTGATGTTTACCTATAAAATATAAAACAAAAGTGATAAAAAACATAGTGACAGAAAAAGGAAAATAAACAAAGGAAAGGTCTGCTTTTGTGGCAAAGTAAACTTTGAACATACTTAATTAAGGCAAAAGATAATGTATTTGTATCTTCTGACTTTTCCTACTCTTTTGAGTTACTTTTACCAAGACAAAATGTCAGAAGATACAAATATCAAATGTACAACAAATGAGAACACATTAGCCAAAAAAAAGAATCTAAACCAGTAGTAGTAGTGAAACAGATTTGAGCGCTGAGATTAATGACTAAATAAATGTAGACATTGAAAACAGAATCAAGAAAATGAAGTATGAATTCTGCCAAAAAGCTGATTTTAGACTTTAATATCATCGTTAATATTTATTTTTCTCAGAATGACAAGATTAATGTCAGAGCTCAAACTATTTTATTCAAATGTTCCTAACCTTCTTTCCTACTTTTGAACTATGCAGTTAGGCACACACTAAAACAAAAAGTGAAATTAAAGTAGAGACCAAGCAGAGACAAAATCCTCTGACTATGAAAGCATCATCCTCTCAGGACTCAAGGTGGCAGCAGCAGAGCGTAAATCACACTCCTCGACTTTCTCCCAGCTGCAGCTGGATCAGCCGTCAGCGAGAGGCAGCGTGGTGCTGAATTCCTGCCCTTTAAAAATAGATGTGTCATTTTTTTCCTTTGCTGTTGCCCTGGAGAGGCCCATGCAAGGATAAAAGCTGTAGCTGTCTGTTGGAAACACTGGCTCTAGATGCACATAGCCTCGATAATGTATCAAGTGCAGCACACTCAAAGTACGGCACGAAACAGAACGATATTTATGACAATGCCAGCAGCCACGTCCAGCTGTGCTATCAGAGTGAGCTTTGTGGGATTATCATCAGATTAATGCCTGCGCAGGGCCGCTGGGTGAAGGGGTTAGAGAAGCCAGTCCATGCTCAGAAACCAATCTTCAATTACTCTCACATTATCAGCTCGTCTTATCTTCATTCAGTATTACAATAGTTTTACTTTACAAATACACAGTTTGCCCTGACAGAAAACTTGTTTTTCTTACATTTACAAGTGTGATTTACCGAAAGACAATTTTGTGTGTTTTTTTTTTTTCAGTTTAGATGTGAGATCTACCTGACCCTGATTTATATGCTCTCAATTAAAGTTAGATTTTTCAAATTTCCTAGAGTTGACTTGATGTGAAGTTTTGCCAATTATTAATTTAACATTTTGCCAAACACATTGTTAGGCGACAACAGTGCATAAACCATACATGTATCAAATGTATTGGACTCAGAAAGGAGGTCCTTAAAACTTTGTGACATACCATTGTGTGAAGGGGAGGACGTTGAACTTGTTTTGGCATCGCCTCCTTTTTGGTGCAGCTGACTGAAAATGAAAGACTAAAATTATACTACAACCATTCTCAATCAACCCTGTTTTCATAATTAGACAATTAGTATTTTGAACAATAATAAACAAAGAAGCATTTGTGGTATTTTTAGGAAACAAATATTGCAAAGCCTCTTAAGAAATTGACTCAATATCATTTCCACAACATTCTTTAGGATATCTCATTGGGCTCATGTTTGAAAATAACTTCACCTCCAGCGTATTTTCTCCAGTATTTCAGAAACACAATTGAAACAAAAAGTGACTCTAGCTGTGCAAGCTGTGATGTTCACTGAGGAAGGATGAAACAATCTGTGTGGATCATGTGTTACATGTAAACGTTTGCATAAAAAGGTCAGTTTTATATGTCTATTTGATGAACAAATATATTTATAGAACAAGTTATTTATAAACTTTAGCAATTCAGTTCTAGTCTAGTTTCCAAGAAAATCATAAGTATTTCTGAGTGATGATGCTTAAATAAAAGCATTATGGCCTAATATGAATCTCAGAATGACAACAAACCACTGAAACAAGTGAACTGAGAAATGATGGAAAAGGACTTAGTCTGTCTATGTTTTTTTTTATTATGAACTACTTAAAAAAATTTCATTATTTCCATCTAATGGAACCAATAACTTGTATTTTTTCTTTTATGGAAAAAAGTTGTTGAAGGATTGCTTCACAGTTTAAATAAATATTTTCAAAGCAATAGTTAGGCGCCCATATTAACACTAAAACAGTTGTTCCTCCTTTAATCATGTTCCTTCATGTTCATACTGGGCATTTACATATCAGATTATCATCACAATCCACAGTCTTTGTTCCCTGTGAAAATGTATTGCATGTGTAAAATTAAATTGATATACATTTGAAATAAAACTTCATGCGTCCAAATCTGTCAAATCAAGTTATGTTCCAGAGTTACAGAGTTTTTCCTTCATAATCCTCACTTATTTGTCACTATCACTGAAGCTCAGCTAAAACAATGTCACTTTTGACAGCCCAAGATTTATATTATATATCAATTTAAAATTATATTATTACACGTAACATTTTGTTCCCAATCACTTCCATTGAAAGTGAATAAGGAAGTGAACTTTAAATGGCAAGAGTGAACAGGAGAAATTATTACATCAAGCAAACCCTGTTATAAGGTTGATACAAAATATCCATTAAACACTGTTGTTTCCTACCTTTGCAACTTTGCCTCTGGTGTTGATCTCTGGTCTTTAACCACAAAGCCATCGACGCCAGGTGAGTCAGGATTGGTGGAGCCACTGCTGAGTCTATCGCTGCTCTCATAGCCAGACTCTGTCCTCTGGATGGTCCAGGTGTCGCTACGCAGCAGCGTCTTGGGCCCCCCCTTGAGTCTGCTGCCCCTCTGCTGGTTGGCTCTGCTCTCTGACTCTACAGAGCTGTGGCTCTCCGTCTCATGGCGCTGCTCGTCCTCATAAATAGTCATTAAGCACTTCTGCTTCCGATCTTCTCTGGTTCGTACGTATTCCCGCTCGTGGTCTCGACTTTGTTCCTTGTGCACTTTTTCCTGGGACGAAGGCTTGCTGTGTCGCGGGCTGTCGTGCTGCTGTTGACGCCGCTGCTCCAGTTCGTTAAGCACAGTGTCCACATTTAACACCTCCCGAATGGGTCTCCAGGTGGACTTGGACTTATTGCGGGTTCCTTCACCTCCATCTTTTTCCCATTGCTCCTGGCAGCCATCCTGATCATAGCGACTTGAGGAGGTGTTGTTCCTGCGGCCGTGCCCTCCACCCTGCGTACCGAAGGACGGACCACGCTGATCCTGAGGTCCTCTGCTCGAATGGTTCGATAACTTCTCAGCCCGTGGATAGCTTTTACATTTTTGGTCCACAGGCGGCCTGGGTCCACTCTCTGGAGGAGATAGAGATCTTGCATGTGCCATCTCTAGAGAGAGTGTATACATGGATTATTGATCAACATGCTTGACTTACAGAAGTTATCTACACTAACTTCCTTGCGTTGCTTCTCTAATATCAGTGCTTCTTATAAAAGGCATTGCTTCCTATGCAGACACTCTACCTTTGTGTTGTGATGAGTCTGTTTTCCGATGCCCTCGATCCTTTTTGGAAGTTTCACTCGGCCTCTGCAAATGCTCCATGATGGGATCCTGGAGTTTGTTCGGACTGCCAAGGGGATGTTTCGCTGTGGGAAAAACATATTTAAATGGCATATGAGTGGTTGGTCTTGGTTGCTGTTGTCAGTGATGCAAATAATAAGTATGTTTTATTTGTTTTTAAAGCCCTAAAAGTAAACTGTGTTGTGCATTGGAGGTATTTAGCTTTGAGGTAGCAGGGTCCACTTCCTAACCAGGTCATATTTTGGTTAATAATACATTTAAATGCAGCTAACATTTTTATAATTTGGCCCTCTTTTGTCTTTCATCTGTGAGCCACGAGACAAAAAGAAAAAACACCAAAGAACAGATGCTAGTGCATCATTAGCAATGTTAAAATACTCTTCTGCTTCCACATTTGCCAACCCTGTGGGGTGTTTCTTTGTTCTGCAGCAAGCAGGTCACTGTAAGAAACAAGAGATGCTGTGAACTGTGAACATCTGCCTCCAAATCATCCCATTCGCCCAACAGCTGCACTGTCTTCCACATCTCTCCACCCCTCCTGTCTCAGTCTCCTCCTAATCTTTGTATTTTTTGTTTTAGGAAAAGATGGTCCATGTTTGTGTGAAGATTTAGACTAAAACATAATATAACATTGCAGTATAAAAGTCTCTCTGAAACATGAAGTAGGAAAGCATAATGCTGTGTGCATGGCTGCTGGATGTTACAACAGCAGTGAGTAACAGCAGTGAGTAAGCTGTAGAATTATGACTGTCAACATTTGTTCACGTAACCATAATGCTGAGATTTAGGAAGTTACACTGAAAACAGATACTAGATTTTAGGAGTAAACTCTAACACCTTAAGTAATTAAACAGTCCACACTTCATCATGTTGCCTGAAGTTATACAGAGACTCTTAGGGTTAGTAATGCACGTACAGTTAAACGCTGAAGTTGTCTATTTAGAGTGGAAACGATAAATATACATTAACATTGACTAATTCAACAAAAGACATATCAGTTAATAAGGCATACAAAGCATAATATAATGAAAAAACTGAGCCATATCTCACTCTCAAACAAAAACAGTCTGTTACTTACGCTTTTCATAAAAACAAGAATCCAGTCCCATGCCAGTCAAAGTCTCTAGGCACAACACTAAAGCAAAAACAATCTATCTAAACAAGCAAGGCACCACTGCCAAAATAAACAAGCAGATAAATGGATGGACGCAAACATCGGAAATGTCTAGGGGAGGAGTGAGAACCGCGGAGCAGGAGTGCGCTGTGCCACAGGAGCAGGGATTAGGGAGGGAGGCGTGGGTGGTAATCTGTGTGCAACAGAGGCATCATCCTCATGTCAAGTTCAAGCCAGCACACAGGGCAGGACAATCTTTCTGCCTGCGGTTTAACAGCCCTCTCTCAATCCCAATGCAAACCATAACTGTCATTTGCAGACAAAAATATCATAATGCCTATGGGTACTGACATGGTTTGATGATTAATCTTGCCTGGCGATAAAAAATGGTCTGATGCGCAAACATTTTGGGACTTATGGAAGTCAGTGGCTCAGTCAGTAGGGGCCTGGATTGGGAGCCGTAGGGTCGCCGGTTCAAGTCCCCCACCCGACCTAAAATATGGAGTGTGGACTGCTACTTGGAGAGGTCCCAGTTCACCTCCTGCCCTGCTGTGGTGCCCTTGAGCAAGGCACCGGACATCCCCCTTCCCCCCTCACTCCCATTGCTCCCTGGGCGCTGTACAATAGCTGCCCACTGCTCCTAGTACTAGACTCCTGGTACTAGGATGGGTTAAAAGCAGAGAACACATTTCACTGTGTGTGCTGTGTGCTCTGCATGTGTGACCATTAAAGAGGGTTTCATCCCTCCCAATTCTATTCTATTAAATGATTGGTCAAATTGAAATTGATGATCATTATGATCCCTATAACGATCTGTCATCATGTTAAATTTACTGTATTTTATAAAGCTTTGTATTCATGACCCATTAAAGTCAGCATTCCCCTATTCACACACATTCATACAGAGGCAGAGGCTGCCATACAAGGTGTCCTCTGCTCAGGGAGCACACACATTCACACACAATTACTAACTCTTGGCCATGCCATCGGGAACTATTTGGGGTGAGGTATCTTGACCAAGGACAAAACGACCATCATCCGAGCCACAACAGCACCATTACTATACATCAATACAAAATACACTATAAATACTGTACACAACTTTCTGGCAGCTACTAATTCTCTTCTGAGAAAAACAATCTCACTGTATACATTGCAGTGGAAGTACAGTTAGATAATCCAAATCACTTGTCAAATCATGTTTTGAGAAATTCAAGAACATAGTAAATAATGCATTTTGTAATAAAAGTAAGGCATATACTGTATGCTCCTTTTAAGAAAAAAACATGTCTTGCATTCAAATCCCATTTTACTGGGTACATAACCTGAATACTGACGGGGATATTAGCTGCGAAATGTTACCTCACCATCATGAGTTACAGTGAGACTCATTGTTCTGCTTGCAGACACTAGTTTTATGGCCTTTTACAAAGTTTACCTGTGTGTATAATACTTAAGGTGATCATCTTAGAGTAATGGCTATTACTATAACTCTGTTATGGTAGTGGTTTGCATGATACCATGGTCTATGTGAATGTGATTGTTATGGTATCATTGCTAGGTAAAACGTAACTTTGATCGCCCTATACTCCGCTGAGGTAAAGGCTTTATCACTGTCCTGAATGAATAAGCTTGAAGGTTCCTCTTCAATTGTTTCTAGATTATAGGTTTTCTACTTGTTAGAGTATGAAGTCATATTTATTCATGACATGAACCTGACACAAAGGTTTAATTATTAAGGGGGTGTTTTCAGGTGGATTGTGCCTATCTTGGCTCAGCTCAATTTCGAAATCAATTAATGAATTCCTTGAAAAACATTCTTTGATTTCTGTTGTGCATGTTGTCATGTCATGCATGCAGTCCACAACTATTTGACAAACGATAGTGAGGGTTTTTTTCTGAGAGATCTTTTTTCTTTTTTTAGCAGCTGTCTGTGTGAAAACATCAACTTGGATAGTTGGCTTTTCAACAACAAAACATAACGTTTCACCCCTTGTTTTCAATCTCAACCTACAGTCTATCATTCTAACAGAAAGATAGAAATATTAATAATTCACAAAAAATAATAGCTTTGTTTGCTGGACTGAAATTGTATCAGCAAATGTTAATAATGACATCTGAAAGCCTTAACAACTTAATGCCAAAAAAAGATAAATTGGCGTTTTTTTACCGATAGATCTAAGAAGGAAAATCCATGGTTTAGGTTTAGTAACACGGATGCCTGACAAGGTGTCCTGAGTTAAGAAAATGATGCATGTGAAAAGTGCAGATTAGGTATCCTGCTAACTATAGGATAGTCTTACCTGTCATGTCACCATTTATCTGAGCTTTGTACCGAGGACACATGGTGGTTTGTCTTGGGGCATCTTCATTAGAAACTGGAGATCCCTCAGGATTAGTGTAAAATAAAAGAAGAGGCTGGAAATGTCCCCTGATACATTTAGAGGCAACATCTTTCCATTTGGATCCAATCTGTGAAAAATGGAAAGTGTGATATCAGAGCATTTAACACACAGTAACAAGTAGCAGACTTTTGAACAGCGATAAAGCAGAGAACAGCATAGTGTAGTTCCTAACCTCCTTTACAGTAGCATCATCGAAAAACATCCATTTTGAAGATTTGGTGTGATAGGCGAAGGCTGAGTAATGTTTACTCGAAAAACAGATCATCCCCACCAGATGAAGCTCGCTGCGTTTGGCGTTTTCATCAGTGACACGGTTGAAAAGCTGAAATGGAGCACGTTGAGACAAGTTTGATCTCCACATGTTGCTCTCTGGCAGATGCTAAATCCTACGTGTGTGTATTTGATACTCTGTTGGAGATTAAAGCAGACTGACCCCATCATTACTATTTTCAGGATAACAAATAGACAGTAACTCAAAGGCATTTTAGCAAACAAAAACATCTCTATATAAGTAATATATTTAGAAACATGATGCAAATATATATAAACAGTGGATCAGGAACACTTTGCCGTTTATTAAGATAATATCTATAATACTTATGCAGACATTACATTTATTTTGTCCATCTGGTTAAGTTTTCTTCAGCTCTTACCCCACACAGATTCAGTCGTGGGCCAAGTGACCGAATGACATCGTCCGTGAGATCAGACTGCTCAGCATCCCATACAAATCCAATGGTGACGATCTCTGGACAGTTCATGAGCACACGGCGGATCTTGATACTCTGACCGCAGTTACTCTGCAAAATAATAATAAAAACGTATTCAAAGTCTGTAATAATTATAAAGTACATACAATAAAAAATAAAAACACTGAACATAGAATTAATACAAATTAATACAAAACAAAATAAAGATTTCAATGTCCATTTTAATGTGGGTTCAAGTTTCAACCCCCCCAAAAATACATGTTTGAAATCAAAGGGGCAAAAACCAGCAACACCAATCTTCAAAATTGCATCAGACAAAAAAACAATTTAAAAAATACAGGAGTAAAAGTTACTTAATACGTCAATTCGTCATAAGATACAAATAATAAATATTCAGCAAGTAAGAATAAAATGTATCTTTGTTTTTAAATCTCAGCAATGAATAAACGAGTAACTTTTCCCAAGAGTTGTAGGTTAGGGCTTTACTCTACTCACTCTACACTTAACCCTCCTGTTGTGTTCGGGTCAAATCTGACCGATTTACTACTTTCATCAATCATAACTTTTTTGTTTTACATTCGATTGCATTAAGGCTTTATGATATCGTTCACAGTAGACATTTGAACATGTAAAATTGCTGATCTACACTTTCATTGAATTTTGGATGATTTAGTCAACTTTGTAACACCCATGGTGTTCCCGGTCAAAAATGACCGGCATAAAGAAATGGAATTAGTAACCAACTAGATGTGTTTTCCCCCCCTTATGTGCCCATCCCCCCATGTGAATCACACCTGGCACACACACACACACACACACACACACACACACACACACACACACACACACACACACACACACACACACACACACACACACACACACACACACACACACACACACACACACACACACACACACACAACAATTTGATACATTTCCCACTCTTATGTGCCCATCCCCCCACATGGATCACACATGGCACACGCAATACATGTTCAGTGTCTATTATTTGTATATTTACTGCAGTTGTTCATGCATACCAGTAGTCTGATACAAAATGTACAGTTTGAAAGGGTGTTAAATTAAATTTGGTGATGATTAATGTTTTTTGTGTTAATGTAATAGCAGTTAAAACAGGACCGGTCAAATTTGATCGCGAAGACCAAAGTAAGGGGGGGGGAAACGAATACAAAAGGAGGGTAAGTAAATCTGGTGACTTATCACTACAAAATGTTATAATAAGGATTATTTCAAAGATGGAAAAAGAGACAGACAGCTTGTATTATCTGCACATCTGTATCATCAAGTCATTTCTGGAGCTTTGATTTGTCTGGAAGAATAATGGGTCAAGGGAACAGAGCACTCAGGTTCACCCAACTGATGCACACTGAAGAGGGAGACAGCGGTAGCAAATACAGATGAGAGAAAACGTGGATATAAACCCTTACTTCGTTCTATTTATATCCTAACACTAGTCTGGCACTGTCTCCTTCCGGCCGCTTCAAGTGCAGAGTCACAGCAGAAAGCACAGAGTGTACTCTGCATAGCTGCAAGAAGCATCCTTGTGTCCATGTTACCGTAACATGATAACTGTTCAGCTGAACGGCTAGAGCTTTCTGTGACAAATCAGCATTTTCTTTAATTATGGTTGAATTCAGATGCTTTCACAAAACAGCAGAGCGGGAAAAGTTATTAAGCCATGACTCCAAGATGTCAGATTTGTTGACATAACCATCACATTAAAAAGAAACATTGAAAGTAAGTGACATACCGGGCAGCTTCGGAGGTCACCTGTGTTGTTTGCTGCCTGCAGCAATTCTCCAAACATGTCTGACCTGAGCCGCTCGTTCTTCCCCAACATGCGCTCAACCTGTTGGCTGTGCATAAAAACATAGACTGTATGAATTGTAATTGATACCAAGTATTATATTTTTCACTAAACAACTGAATATTCAATAACCCCAACTTGTGTGTATGTTTAACAGACAAAAACATTGTTCTAGTAATTAACATTAAACAGTTAAAATTGGGATATACATGTATTAGGTACAACAGATTTGCAAGAAGTTTTACATTTAGGAAGATAACAATATTCAGTTTTTGTTGACGCTGTCGGAAAAGTGTTTATTCAACTGTGTGTTTGTAATTGAGCTCGTAGTCATATACTGTCCCCCCCCCCATCTGTGTGAATGAAGTAAAACAAAAGCAACTCATATTACAAGGAAGTCAAGTTTAATAACACTGAAAACTTCCACTTCAATAAATTAAACAAATGCTTCAATCAATACCCCTTCGACCGTGTCAATCAAAACTAAACATTATTTTCTATATGAATGTTGAATTTATGGCATAAAAGACTATTAATAATTAATTAATATATAACAAACAATGTAATTAGTTTGAAAGCACAGCCCTTTAAAATAAATATAGAATACATTACAAATGAATAGGGTTGTTCCTGTTAACACTCCTTAATTATTGATAATGAGCTTAAGTACTTTCTGCAGATTGTGGATTTCCTGAACATACATACAGAAAGTGAGATGAGGAGGAATTGTGCACCTGTTGCATGAAAAGAGAGAAGAACCTTTATATAACCAATCATTATCAGTCCTAGTGGACATTAAATGGTAGCCAGTGATAAAATCCCCACTGGGTTTTTAGGCTCTGCTGCAGTAGGCAAATTGATCTAATATGCTTAGAATTACTACCAAAAGTTGTTTTTATATTAACCCTATTTAATACTTTGATATTTAAATCGGGATTAGCACTCTGGACTAATTTTTGAATAAAAAATCAGGCCAGAGTAAATCACGTACTCACCATAACGCAGTCGTTGAAACATAATGTACGAATTCTGAGAATGGGTGCGGGTCTGACGATGCTCCACAGCAGCGACACACAAACTGCAAAAGAAACATGTTGCATTATTTAAAAGATACTATGTTATGTTTAACTTTTAGTCAATGACTTGTGCTGTCACCAATTATCTACTCTAACATTTAGTTATAGTAGACATTATTATTCTACTAGCAGTAATTGTACTTCACATGAATTAACATATTACATCTATTTTTTTGGTTACCTGCTCATAAAGCATCATGGCGAACTTCTGATGGGTGATGCAGGATTTGGATGAGCATGCATCAGTCGACGTGTCAGAAACGATGTGTAAATGAATCCGCTCCAGGATGTTCTCCTAATATATAAGACATAAAAGTAGAATACAAATATTTAATTCATGCAAATACACATGATATATAGACAGCAACATTGCACAGTGCTTCCATACAACTGGTGAATTAATCAAACCCACTACAAAATGTATGTGAAACACTTAAAGGTGGGGTAGGTAATTTTGGAGAAACCAGCTCGAGTGCGCTAGAATTTGAAAATGCACAACCGGAAAAAATCTGCCACTTCCTTACAGAGCCCCTCCTCCAACACACACGAACGCGCACATGACTAATGAGGGCACGAGAAAAATGTGTGCACAGATGGAAGGCTGACAGGCAGGTAGGCCATCCAGTTACTTTAGCCGGGCCGGCTAAAATGATTACTAATGAGTACTTTTTACAGTACTACGCTTCCACAGATGACATCTTTTTATGGATTTTTTGTCAAAGCACTTAAGATATTCATTGCTATCGGGATGTTAAGAGCATTGCATGGAATATAACAAAAAGTGTATCTCGAGCCGGTTTCTCAAACTTACCTACCCCACCTTTAAAATATCTATAAATATACAAATAGATAAATATCTATATTTATCTACTAGGTTAGGATTTTAAATGGTTGTAGATTGTAAAATATGTTAAAATATATCATTTACATACAGTAGATAGATTACACAGAGCCAAGGCATTTTGTCAGTGGTCTCTGCTTCTTTTTACCGTCAGTGTCACACGGGAGGAAGTGCCATAATAATGTTTAATACACACAGTTACTGTGGAAAGGTCTTTTACTGGATGTTACTTTGATTAAAAGCCAAATGCAACGTACAAAGCACTCAGCAGCATCATCCATCAGGCCGAGCTGGAAGCGTTGCTCATCCTTAAAAGTTTCAGCTAGCGCGTTACGCAGGCTGTCGGAAGGGAGCACACGCTCTCTGCTCTGCTGGAACTGGCTGAAGATGCTCTAAAACAGAAAAACAGTGATTAGCTATTGTCATACAATTGTCGGTCCTCACCAAATTACACTTTTGAGACAGTTATTATGACATCAAATGGAACCAGTTTCTTAATGTAATGAAGACAATGTTTAACAATACTACCGACAATGCCATGTGAAGCTCAAAGTGCAGAAACACACACCTTTAGAGCACAGAAGATGCAGCTATCACCGAGACAGAAGTGACCTGAGAGCTGCCTCAAACTCCTCCTGAAGATGTCCAGCTGCCAGAGCACCTGTGAAGGTTAAAACAGCAAAAACATAAAAAATATTGACATGCAGAGAAATCTATTTCAAAGATTTTCAAATGCTCGAGTTGAAAAGAAAGATCTCACAAAGAAAATGTTTGGTGTTTCCATTGAAAGAGTTGTTGTACTTCTAGACCCACTGAAACTTAACACTCAACTTAGCAGCTTCTCTCTGCTTTTAGTCATTTTCAGCTCATTATTTTGGTTTGCTGGTCCATGTGGCTGAGTCACGGCATCTCTCAGTTACCCACACGTTAAAAAAACATGTTCAGCTCACACACACATTATTGAGACATTGCCAGGGAAAATTGTTTAAAAAAAAGAAAAGGAAATCTAGCGAAGAGACATATTTAATTCAGAAGTTGATATACCAAATTATTTATAAAAAAACAATTTAATGTTGGTGATTCCAACCACTTTGCTGTTTGTACTGACTAAGAAATGTTGGAATAGCATTTCCTAAAATTGTTTCCCAAAAGAATGATATTGCAGAATATTTTGGAGTTTGTTTTTGGATCTATTCTTGCTGTCAAGTGCTCACGAACCGCTTTATTCAGCTTTCTACTGTGGTGTTTTAAAACAGTTTACAAGACAAAAGTGAAGAAATGTTGGAAGGAGAATGTGTTTTAAATTGTTTGAGCACTGAGACAGTGTTTCATTATTTCAGTGGAGTGAAGTAAGTTAATTGAAGTATTTTCTCAGTAATAAAGAGCCGGTAGAAAATGGTGCTTTACCTGAACAGCGCTGTTTAGGAAGCAGCTGTTCTGCCCGGGCTCATTCAGCAGGCCTTTGGTGAGCGCGAGAGACAGCATGCTCCCAGGCTGGTAGGATTTCTTCAGGCCTCCTCCAGGTTTTTTGAACATCTTCACCCATGCCATGGAGTTAGAGCCTGCAGCTGATTAAAAAACGATTGGGCTTTGTAACTCTTTCTATGTCTTCAAGTCTCTTAAAGCAATTCACACCACATGTGTAACCTCAAAATGAGCATGTCATATCATTATAACGTTTGCCACTCAAAACATTTTAAACATGTTTATTTCCGTAGACATCTATTCATTTCCCATTAAAGTCTCCACTGGTATGTTTCAAAATGTGATTATTATTGCATGGCATTACGTAGGCATTTTAAGCAATCCTGGATGAAAATGTGGTTAATCTTGGACACAGTTTTCATTACATCACTAATCCAAATGACTGTTTTGGTTGGTTGCCAGATAAATCATGTCATCTACCTTCTCCAGAGTTGGGGGGAGACTTGCTGCGGCTGGACATGCTGAGAGGTGGGAGCTGGTGCGCTGGTCTGGCCATGGGCTCCATCCATTTCATCCCCACGCACCCCCGGAGCGGTTGGTTGAAAGCATCATCAGGATCAGCCGCAGGGCAGCCTCAGCCACGTGCTGCTGGACATTGAATGGCAACTGGACAGTATCTGGGAATATGTGGAAAGGAAGAGGGAAACAATTAACGTTAGCCAATTTATGATTAAAAGGAGATGCAGTAACCCTTTCCAGCAGCCTAACTTCAAGAAAAAGGAAACTCAAGTCCATTTCTGAGGTATTTTTCAGATCTCCTCTTCTAAAAGAAGATGCTTAATATAGCAGATACAATTCATTCCCAAACAATAGATTTTAAATACTGTTGTATTTCTTTACTTGCTCCACAGTCTGCATAGTGATCACTATCACACCGGCTGATGAAAGAGTATTGCAACATTTGTTTTAATATTTTTAAACTCATAATCTAAGAAAGACAACCGAACTAGAATAGATGTTAGGTCTGTTATTATTTTAAACATGTATCTATCTATTAATCCATCTATTTTTACTTGACCATCCTATTGTTTAATCAATCATGCAGAAACAGCAATGAAAACATAGAGCTAGAATAATAATGCAAAGGATATAAACTATACCTGTACATAACAAAATAATACATTAATCTCTCTTTAGAATATACAAAATTCAAATAAATCCTTAAAATGATGCTGTTCTGCTTAACGTGACCTTTGTAAGGATAGTATCCAGTGTGGCTTTACTCAGTAACCTTTTATTGTTCTTATAAATCAGATAAAGGGTCATCATAAAAGGTGCATTAGCAAACTAACAATCCACATACACAGCAGATTGTCTCTTTAAATCAATTACATGAAACTATAAGCCACAATCGCTGGTATTATATAAACAAGAGAATAAACCCACCTCCAAAATATCTGCAGCCTGTTTTTATGTCAGCAACAAGGTCCCACATGAGACAATAAGAATTGTTATGGTTTAATCCTGAACTGCAGCACTGGTTTGTTTACATATGCTATGTTTACCAATAGAGGGAAATGCATTTGTTTTTAAAATAACCATTAGATAAAAAAGAGAGAGAACATGTATATATTTTAAAGGAAAGTGCAACTCTTAACAGGCACATAATGTCATGTTGTTATTGTCTTATTTTTAGAGGTAGCCTACTTTAAAATGTATATGTTAAATAATACTGATAACGGATCTTTAAGTCGTTTTTGAGTTACATAATGACCCACTTTACTTATTTTATTATACTGTTTTCATAATGTTAATTCTTCTTAAAGCGTGTATTGTCAGTGTCCACATGTGTGTGTGTGCAGCTCCTCTAACAACATGTGATGCCCGTATAGGCCTATACGGTCTGACATAAGCGCCCATCTTTGCAGCAGGGATCATAAAGAGGACATAAATCCTTCACTGAACGGGATTTTATGGTTATCTAGAGCTTTTCTGCATTAAAAAAAACCCTAAAGCTTCGACAAGCGCGCTCCCAGTGCAGGAGACATGCTGCCAGTGTTGCACCATGCAGCATCCCGGGGAACTGTTACAGCGCCCGGTCAGACACAGCAGCACCAATATGCCGCAACTTGCATTCAGGCATTGACAAAACAAGTGCTGAGCAGACTCACCTTAAAGGGAAGCGGACACTTCACTGCCTCCAATGAAGGCGCAGGGCGGTCCAGCTGTCAACGCGCAAAATCGCCACACTTCTCCCCGATTCCTCCAAATAAAACTGTCTAGAAAACACTGCAGATATGTCCAGACGCATGTAACGCACTATCCGTCATAGTGCAGCATTCCCAATCTCTTCGACACGCACACAGCTCGAAACGCTGTTTGCTGACACACACACCCGGGCGGGACAGTGTTATTTCGCTGAAAAATGCTCCCTTTCTCCGTACTAACGAGGCCAGTGATGGCCTGTGCCAGAATGTCCGACGCGGATTAGTGATGTTTTCAGACTTGAGAGGTCAAACTCCGCCCCTAGTGTAGCCTCAAGTGCACTGCTGCTGTATTGCAATCTTCAATCCCTGCATGGCAAACTGTGTGCTGGCGGAAGGTCAGACTTCCAACTTGTCATGATGATGATGATTAGAGAAGCCATCACATGACTGCACTGGTTTCATAATCATGCAGCACTGTGGGGACTAAACCCTGCCTGTGTGTGTTTTTTTGTTAATGCTCTCACTTAAATGTCAAACAGCAGAACAGAATTGCGTTTTTCTGATTTTATAATAGCAATTGTGTGAATATGCAACAAGGAGTTGTTGTGAATGTATCCTCTTACTTAACATGTGTTACTCTGGTGGAAATAACACATGCATTTATTTATTTTAAATAACAAACTAATATTATAAATCTAAAATGTCTGTCTCTGTAAATCCACAGGAATCAGGACATGGAATCACGTAAATTGGGGCAGATGGAGGATGTAGAGCCTGCAGAGCTGAGCAGGTTTTAAGCGGAGACAGGTCAGGAGGACTGATGGTGCAAACACGCCACAGTCAGCAGAAATCACACTCACTGATTGGATGATCTGATTTTTCAGTTTGAGTGGGTCTGTCCAAAATAATGTTTGGGTGCAACAAGCATTAAAAAAAGGTGAGAAATAAGGAATAACAGTACGATTTGCTTGTTATATATCAAAGATAATATGAATGATCTGAAGACTTATGCATCCTTTTGAGCTACGTTTTCTTTATCAGTGTCTGTTGATGTGTTTCTGCGTGTGTGTGTGTGTGTGTGTGTGTGTGTGTGTGTGTGTGTGTGTGTGTGTGGGCCAGCCTGTGTAAAATAGAGTAATTCACTCTTGATGACTTACTATACAGAGTGTGATTTTGACACCAATAATGACATATGTTTGAGAAAATATTAAACAGGCACATCTGCTATTTTGGTTTAACACTGACAAATACAGCTTTACTAATATTTTCCTACAGTTCCTGGTATATTCAGCACTATTACTACATCGAGTATACGGTATAAGTGAGGACCGTGTGCACTGAACAGGATGGTACAGTCTTACTGTATTTAGATGTTCTCTGATCCTATCTCGGCTCCAGCAATAGCACTGAAATGTCCCTTGAGACACATGAAGTGTTTTTGGTATTTTTTATTTTAGGCTCCATATTTCACCCTCTGAATGTAGCACAGCTGAGCTCTGTTCAGACGAGCTGTCAAACTCTACTGTTCTTTAGTTTATTTTTGGAGCCCATTTTTTTGTGTCTGTTTTGTTCTTATTTTTTTGACAATTTCAAGAGTTTAGTAGTTCAGCCAGAAGTGACTAAAATAGATTCCCAGCAAGTGCAACTATAAATCAGTGGCTACAAGGGCAGCCAGAGTTTTTAGTGTGATTTAGGTTCAGTTATTTCTATTGTTATCAGGTTTTTGGACTTTTATCACCCAAAAATGCTCTTAATTGGCAGTACACCTTCCTTAAAAAACAGGATTTAAATTGTCTATGTCAGATTTATACTCGATACACGTCCATTATATTGAACCTGCATGTATGGCGTTGAGTTATAATTCTGTTAAAACTCAACATTGTCCACCGCGCAGACTTTCTCATGGTCAAGTCTCAAAACATTGAATAGGTCATTTTGGGATTCAGTGAGAATTGTATTTATTTGTATTCACAGCTAACGTGTTATTTCATTTAAAATTATACAAATCGTCATTTCTGATCATGACAGTATTTGGAAATTATTCTATTTTCAATATTTGAGTATATACAACCCAGATGTTTTCAATTGTATTTTCAGTTTCATTCAAAAGCATTAAATGAAGTGCACTGAAGTTAGTTTTTATAATGTATAATATACATGAAAAAGCATTACACCTAAACTGTATAAATAAAATCATGCAGCTTGATTTCAGCCCAGTTATTCAGAAACACAGTGATCTAACTTCAATATATCACTCGCAAACATTCAGTGTATTTTGCATACAGTATTGTCACATTATTGCCACTTTTACATTTTACATTAAGTGTTATCCCACTCCAAACAAGACCATAGCCATGTTGTACAGTTATCACTTGTATTTGTAAAGGAAACGTTTGTTTTTTTTAGTCCATGAATATGCTGTGTATTTTTCATCAATCAGTTCCTTGCCATCACAGTTCAAAGTCCAACAAAAAAGAAAATTGTCCAGGTTTCTCAGTCCTCCTCCCAGCTACCTCTGTTATTTCCTCAAGAATAGTTCACTATATTTCAGCAGTCAAAAATCAATCCGAGGTTCAAAACAGAGTTCCTGCTGCTCTCTCTACTGTAAATATGAATTGGTTTTGCATTACATTTTTAGATTCATTTAAGTGAAGTATTATAATACTTAAATACTTTGTATTTGTATAGTTGGTATTTGCATGCTCTAACATAAAGTTTAGCTCTTTATGTATCATGATAAATGAATAACAATTAACATAATTTTTTGTGTATTTTGTGGTAAAATAATTATTTACAATATATTGAATTGATTTAAATAATAGTAATAATAACTTTATATAAATTACTGCACGTTCCAGTTGTGTACCATCAATAAATAAGGTACATTTTTTATTTACATTACATATTCATCAGGTCATCGTAACATGTATAACATTTACAGTTTTGCTTTCACTTTGAGTGGAAACCCTTCAACATCTTGAGTTGTGTATAGCCCGTTCATTTAGCTATTTACATGATTTTCTTTAAATACAGTTTAAGTGCACACCAAACACACAAGTCAACAAATGCATGAAACATGGTGTCTATTGGGGGGGGGGGAAATCCAACACATTGATAGGGAATAGTGACTGTGCTACTAAAATAACATTTTGCTGTCATTACAGGCAGGGCCAAAATACTACAGCCACTTCCTGTTGCCAGGTTACCAACAGAAATACCACCTACAGGTCATCAGACTCTGGGACTGGGATTGGCTCCAGGGTGACAGTGGGGAGGATCAGATGGGTGCCCTCAGATATCCACCCACAGGCCGTCCTGTTGAAGGTGGGTCTCTTCACCCCGGGCTCCTGCAGCTCGGGGTACTTGAGGGGGTTCAGGTCTATCTCCGGGAGCTTGAAAGTGATTCCTCTGGGAGCTTTGTCAAAGCCCCCAAAAGGAGTGGCAACCCTGTAAACGACATCAAGTGTGAACTCGTTGCTGCGCTCTGTACTAATTCAGTAAAATATGCTTATAGTTTTCTCACCGGTTAAAGCTTTTGAACTCGGGAAGGTCTTGTTTTGGGTCTGGTGCTGAAGTTTCCAGTTTAAGAGTTTCTGCGAGGCTGGGGTCCATGAGGATGGCCTGGTCCCATGGGGAGTGGTAGGACTTATGCATAGCTGTGGTGCTTGAATTCTCTGCAGACATGTCTTCAAGGAGACAAAACCACAGAGGCACCATGAGTTCATATTGGGGAAGATTGTCCCAGCATTGAAACAGTTGACATTTTGGGATGCAGTTTACGGGGTTAATGCTGAGCGCTTTTCTCAAATGGGAGGAGGCTAAAGATTTGGAGTGGGAAGGATTATGAATAGAGACTGGGCTTAGAGAACACTTACACAGACGGACTGAGTTGTCTGTCATTGAGATCTGAGGCCTTAAAATAGCACATAGTCGAAGTGTGCACTCATCATATAATGTGTCGACATGGGATGAAACCCTACTGGAGCCTTTTAGAATAAGCATAGGACTGTTGGCTTGTCTAAATATAATACAATTAAAACAAGGCGTTTAAAACGTCCCAGAGTGTTTAATGAATCAAAGTTACATATTTACAGTGAGTTGCTTTAGAGCTAGACCAGCTCTTATGACTGTACCAGTTGTCATTATTATGACAGCATTACAGAATCAGTCACTGTTATTTTACTGTGAAGTATTGGTAGTTTTTTTATAGATTGACAGTAGAAGAAATAATACATATACATTACGATTCTTTTGTAAACAGCATACAGTATTTACCTGAAACAGTGATTTCTGGTGTAGCAGCGTTGCCATCAGCGGGTGGGTCCACTTTAATTTCCACAGTGTGAGCATTCTGAGCTAAAATATCATTCTGCAAAACAGAAGAAATAAAAGTAAAGTACAGAATATGTAATAAGTTTCAGGTAACAGTTAACACATGTAAAACTGGCACAACTGTAGCTGCTATCTTCAAAGCACTTAGATACATACAAAAACACGCACACACACACAATACCAAAAACACTTCATGTGTCTCAAGGGACGTTTCAGTGCTATTGCTGGAGCCGAGATAAGATCAGAGAACATCTAAATACAGTAAGACTGTACCATCCTGTTCAGTGCACACGGTCCTCACTTATACCGTATACTCGATGTAGTAACAGTGCTGAATATATCAGGACCTGTAGGAAAATATTAGTAAAGCTGTATTTGTCAGTGTTAAACCAAAATAGCAGATGTGCCTGTTTAATATTTTCTCAAACATATGTCATTATTGGTGTCAATATCACACTCTGTATAGTAAGTCATCAAGAGTGAATTACTCTATTTTACACAGGCTGGCCCACACACACACACACACACACACACACACACACACACACACACACACACACACACACACACACACACACACACACACACACACACACACACACACACACACACACACACACACACACACGCACACACACGCAGAAACACATCAACAGACACTGATAAAGAGGGCAGCAGCTCCTCAGCAAAGTGCCTGTGCAGCCTCTCAGAAGATGTGTCTGGACGATGTAAAAGGCACACGTCTCTTTTTATCCATGTGACACTTTTTTCAAGAGCATATTTCCTAGTACATTTACTTAATGAGTACAATAATAAACAGATAATGTTACACATGTCTGTGCAGGATAAACACAAAAAAGTCAGATTTTAAGCGTTCATTCAATCCAGTCATTATTAATTGACTTAATAACACATGTAGGTTGACTTACATTCAGCAGTGTGTTTGCTTCATTTTGGATACTTTCAAATGTATATTTTTCAGATCTTCTCTGGCGCATTTTGAAAAGCCGGGACCCTCTGTTGGAAAGTAATGACAACTCCTCCAACATAATGTCTTTAGGGGTGCTGAGCTTCTTTCCCAGATCCATAACGTCACCTGTGGACCAAAAATATATAAAGATGAAGAGGAAGATAACAATCTTTAAAACCCACATTTAGTAGACAATCCTTAATCATTTTTAAAAACTAAAACGTGGACTTGTGCCAACACGTATTATTAAATCAAGGAAATTGTATACAAATAATAACCAAGCAAATGATTTGCCATTGATATTATTGGGCCATTTATGGGCAAAAGTGCCTCAGGGGTCCCAAAGCTTACTGCAGGTCTCCCTTGAAAAAGAGATCGTTGATCTCAATGGGATTTTTCACCTGGTTAAATAAAGGCTACAAACAAACAAACAAAGCTTATAGTGTGGGAATTTTATTATTTGATTAATTGCACATTTGTTTGGCAATCATAAAAAGCATAATTGAGACTGAATTAGGGAATATCTTTCACATTAACTTAAGGGTGTCTAGTAGTCAGATCCTGGGTCAGATAGATACCGTTTAGGGGTTAAAACTATATTAACATTGGGCATATGTTGAAATGAACTTCATATGACTTGATCATCACAAACTGACTTGAAAAAGGGGCGGGGGGATAATGGCAGGTGTTGGAATAGTGGGTAAATCCAACCTGGTTTTACACCTGGAAATTGCTTCAGACACTAGACAAATATAGGCACAGAAATATACCCTGATATCATTTTGTAAGCTGAATAGGTTTGAGGAAGGGTCCATAGATGAAAACAAATCTGTCAAAAAATTCAAATGTTCCATGATGAAAGCCCTGTCATGGAATATGAGTTATCATTGTACTTGAGAATTAGTTTTGGATGGACATAATACTTCCTCCTCCACCACACAGACGGTATGTACCGCAGCTGTCACAAACCTTCACGTCATCCAAATGGCTACACACAGTTGGCCCTCACAACTTCCCTCCCCTCTCCACAAATAGACTTTTGAAAAGGACATTGACAAAGGATTAGCCGGCATAGATAGTAAATCATCTCATTAGCTTATTTATGGCAATTGCTGGAGTGTAGCTCTGACATTTGAACCCAGATCATATTCTCATTTAGTCTGTGTTTGCCCGCTGAGCCTCAAGTCTAACATTGATCATACCATTGGTACCATGGACCTCTCGGCAAATAGCTGCTGCGCGCTGCTTCCTCTCTCCAGTTGGCATTGTACAGAATTGTGACATTTTGGCTTTGGCAAGGTTGGCAGAACGCAGTAGTGCTGGAAATACATACAGGACACAGGATGTAGTTGTTCTGCCCGAGTCATAAAGAAGGAGTCTTAATCCAAACACTACGATCCCCCAAAACATCGATGCAGCTATAGCCCTTACGAACAGCTAAACACAGAGATTACTGTTTATTTATTACGTTTAAAGTTATCTTTGATCAGATTTTAAAACTCATATCACACAGAGTTATATCTCAGTTATTTCCTGTTACATAACTAGCATAATACACAGTCTTTTATAAAGTTCTCCCATTGGCTGTCAGCATTTATTGAAATGGAAAGATTAATGGAAAGCACCCAGGTGATGAAAAATATGCCATATCAGTGTCTCTCCTACGAATGTACGAATAATCTCTCTGTAGCGGTAGTATTTATGAAATTACCATGCATTGCATAATCCTAGACCCTATTGTTCTGAGGACCACAAACGTCATTCCTAAATCTGGCCTCGTCAGTAGACAAGTATCTGTGTACGTGAACAAATGTTAGTGGTATCCCCCTCTATTGCTGTCACATAAATCACCTGTATAAAGGTCAAGGGTGACTAATATGCGCTGGGTTTATGCGTAACCGAATAAATGTCCAGCAAGAGACATCAAACATACAATCCAAAATAACTTTCCTGCATTACAGTGACTGGTTCAATCATATTATTTTAGCTTTTCTCTGTTGTCAAATGCTGAACATGATGCTACAACACTAAATGTTTAATGTTTAATATCTGAATTATGCCCATTTGCTGTCTTTGTGGCATTAAAACTAGTTTTATAGATGTGAAGTTAAGACATAGCAAAGCAATTGAATACTAAAGATAGAACATATTTCCAATTAACATATTATGCTTCACCAAATGATGATACAGTAAGAAAGTGACTCCCATTATTCATTTAAAAACCAAGCCACATTTATTTTTACCCACAAACAATGACTTCTCGAATTGTCTTCAACCGAACTTCAAAATAATTTAAATATACCAAAAAATACCCCCTGACGAAGCGTTGTATCCGTACCTGTGCTGGGATCCCTAGTGTGCCACCTGTATCCTTGAAGGGGAGACACGGACTCAGGGGTCAACCTCCAGGAGGTAGTTTGATCTTCCCTGATCTTCACACTCCCGGACACTAAAGCCAAACTGTGAGTGTGTCCCTGTGTCTGTTGTGAATGGAATGCAGCTTACATCAATAGGCTAAATTTAACTTGCCAAACACTCAAAACCACTCTCTAACACCATGGGGCAAGGATAGCTACCAGAGGGAGAGAAAGAGAGAGAGGAGAGAGGATGGACAACACATGCCCACTGATGTACTCCGAGGCGAGGACTCCCCTCGAGAAACACATTTCCTTCCTCGTGTAGAATCTTCAAAGTGAATGTGTCTCCGTGGGTGAAAATAACCTCTGAGGGATTGTAACCTCCAAATCATGGAGGTCTTTATTGCTGGGCACAGCTGCTGGGTGTGGACGCCTCGCTTTAAACTGAGTTTTGTTACAGCTATTATGTGTGATCACTGACATTGGATAATGATATACAGACCAGTGAGGCGGGGATTAGAGGGGGAGTGGGGTCTCATCCCCGAAATGGTGATCAGCCATTAAGATTTTTATACAGCAGCATCAAGGACATTACCCTGGCAGCAAAACATGTAGTCATACTCCCCCCTTTAAATAACCAGTGAAAAAATATAATGTTGATACATGAGAGAAGTTCCTGATCTAATCCTTGATAAGGAAGTTTACAAACCAGTATTACCTTAATGTTTGATTTGTATTATGCTATGTTTTCATGTTTTGTATTTTAAAAAGGACAGAGTCAGAGAATTAATTAAATTCCCTCTTCACCAAAAATGATGCTTACTCCATGCCAAAAATAACACTTCAAACATTGAAAGCATCTTCAAGTATTTTAATTTTTCAGTTTGTGTTTTAAAGGTGCAAAAACATAACATAACTTATAACACACGGGTAAAGCTCATTCCATAATTAGGATAAAACCATGGCTGAGTCAGACATTTTGAAAACCCTGACACTCAATTAATGAATCTGCAGTTCTACATCTTAAACACCATGCCGTGTGTAATCAAAACGTCATGAATGTATGCATGCAACATTAACGTCTCTCTTACATTCTCTCACACTGAGGTCATCACTATGAATGAGCGCCATGTTAACTTATTGCAAGTTTTTGTAAATATGCAGTGTGGCTTCCTTGTAGCAGAGAGAGATATTGTATGTTATTACTCAAAGTGCTGCATATTAATAGAAATGTTCACTCTTTTAATATTATTGCAACTATTAAATCTGCAGTGCGAGAAAAGACGAATAAAAACAAGATAAGTAATATAATTGTTATCGCTGTGTGAAATATTGAGATGTGCTAAAGTGATCACAAAGCCACAGTGAGTTTTTAGGTTAAGATATGTAACTGAAAAGCCACATTTTGATTTCTTAAAGTTCCTTATTTCTTACTAAATATTTGTAATATCAGTGAGCAACAAAACTCTAAAAAAAAGTATCTACCAAACACTCCTTTCTTCACGTTCACTTCCGCTCTCATAACACTTTTCTTGACTGCAGTGCAACCATCCTAAATGAGTCTGAATTGAAACAACAAGATTCTAAAATGATCAATTAGACACAATAACAACATTTCCCATCTATGTGTAGCAGTAATATCTCATCAGCATCACAACACAATAGCTACAGTAAGTAAGTTGTTGTGCTCTTCAAACCAAGTGACCACTCATAAAGATAGCAATGTTTATCACTTCCTTTAACAATTTAAAACCAATATTATAAATCATCTAAAATATTCCTCTTACCTGTATAAGTCTGAAATAACACAGGCCAACAACAGCCTTATTTTTCATCACATTCAAGCAAACATATTGAATGTTTTTAGGCCAAGCTAACTATTTTGTCTTCCATGTTCACGATACCATCATGTAATTATGTGATGCATGTTTGACCTCATCTTAGTAACTTCTCTGGGCTTCACTTTTCAAATGGGAGTACTTCTCTGGACCTTATCCCATGTATCCGATACTGGCCCTGCTGCCGGGCCTCAGAGGCTGGGCCGGTCTGAAGGGGGGCCCATAGAAGGCTGGTTTCTCAGGTGGAAATGTCCTGCTTATGAACGGTGCCTGAAAAGCTGGGGCCGCATGATAATGACCCATCCCGACAGCTGCAGGATCAAGGGACACCCTGCGCTTCCACTCATCCGGAGGCTCTGGCAGAGATCTGCGGTGCCCTGCAGCTTTGACATTAGAGGCAACAGATGACGGGAGGCTCTGAAACACAAAGGCATCGTCCACTGAACAAGTGGGGCTTCTGGATGCTGCCTCCCACGGACTCAGTGGCTTGTAGACTTTTTCTTGAAAGGATGTTTGCCTCTGTGTCGGTAAATAAAACGCCTGGATTCCAGGTGTGCTGGCAGGTGACAGAAGTCTGGGAGAAGGCATCGAATTCAGTCGCCTGGGTAGACTCAGGGAGCGGCTTCTTCCAAATCCCTGAAAGAAAAGCAGATATTTGACTGGTGGGACAGCAGTGTTGCAGGCTTTGCTGCCACCCTCTGGCTTCATGTAAACCTGGAAAACTAATAATGTGGTTTGTTTATGTTTTATTTGACCTTTTTCCTCTTTAAGCTTAGGGGTTGCACACTGTTGAATGATAGTTTTGCTAAAATAACTTTACAGTTCAGTAGATACATTTACGAAAGAGGCTCTTAAGATGCAAAAGAATCAACTGATTTCAAGTGCAAAAAAGTCCTTTCTTTACCTAATAAGTTGCACATGGAATACATTAATTTATTTGCATCTTTAAAACCTCTTTATATTTTTGTTTTTGCAGTTTTTCTATGAAATGATTGATTTCAATTCAGCTACTCTCACGCCTAAAACTCTCTTTTGAAAAGTGTTAAAGTCTTGAGCAACATTAGAGATATTAAAAAATATTGAGAATAAATAAATACTTAAGAACTTACCTGCTGTTGGTTCATTAACAAAACAATTGAAAGACATTAACAAGATTATGAAAGTTTTTTGGAACTTAAAGGGGAAATCCACTTTAAAACACAATTAGCATGTGTCTGCTCAGCCTAAGATCAGCTGTGTGGGTTGTCCATGCCTGTGCAGGGGCCTTTATCTACATAGCAGGACCTGAACTGCAACCTAAACTTTCTCAAAAGCACTGCTGTTTGAATGATCAATATTCAGGGATTCTTGACACCTAAATAAAGGCTTAGTTTTCTGCAGTTAGGTCTAGTTAGTTAGAACAATGACCACCTCAGTATTAGCCGTGAGCACCTACAGTATGATCTTCTTCACTAACCACATAGCCACAGGAAATGTTGCAGCCCTGGCAAATCAGCTAAAGAATGAAAAGCCCAGGACTTGAGACGTTCTCCAAGCATAACCCCATCTCAACAGCAACACGCTGACAGCTAACCACTTAGTAAATCATTTCCATTTTTGACCTTGTACTCCGAAACATGAATTGTGTAGCGTTAGCAAGTATTGATAGCAAGATATCACAGTTTATATGGGCCTGTTTGACTGATCCTTTTCTTCTAAGAAACCATTTTGTGAGTGTTGGCTGTGTGGCATCTTGGTATGTGGAGGGAGTGTTTTGTTTTTTGTACTTAAGAACTACACAGAATCCGGCCTGTCTTTAAATGTCAAAAATACTTCATATATATAATTCAATGCATGCAAAAATATTTTCGAATGTGTTATAAGGGTTAATTTTACTTCACTAGACCTCAAAACAGTGGGCAGAAAATATTTTAAGAGGCACAATCTTTTCACAAACTTAAAGGCTGATTTAAAAATCCTGTGATTAAAAAGAAGAGCAAAGGTCCAGAAACATCATGTCAGTGATTCAGTGACAGTGTTAACCTTCAGCAATTTATCATTTTATATAAATATAAGCAATGAGTTATTACAAATAGCCAAACTTGTAGTGCATTTTAGAAAAGTTTGCTGAAGGTTTAGTAAATATGAGTAATTTCTGTGTGAAAGGGTGAGGCAGTAAGGAAGATAAAGGTAGAAGAAAAAGTGACTCGGTAGTTCAGGAAAAGTGAAAAGAAGCTCATTACACAAAGTTCACACGTAAAGGGAAAGACATTTAATTGTGCTGAGGACAAGAAGTGCAATAAACAATGATATTTGTGAAAGACAGATAAGACAGTTTCATTTTGAGTTGCTACTGACAGTGTGAATAAATAGTCAAATATCTGTGATAACTCATGTTTGACTTCAAGGATGAGGAGAAAGGTAAATAATTGGCCATAACTGACAACTGCAAGAAAAATATCCACATAAAAACATTTAAAGTCATCAGGGTTAGTAATCACAACTCAAGTTAACGCTTGCTGTTGTGATGCCGTTAAAGGAATGAGACTGAAGAAATTGCAAGTTGTATGCATCCCAAAAAAGAAGTGCATAGACAGTTCCCCTCCAGATAAACTAAATAATTAAGCATATTCTTTAACTATAATCAATAGTTACTGTTATCTCAGATGTTAGAATTAAGAAAAGTATCATTGTAAGTTCAATTAAAAGAATAAAGGTATATTAACACATTATATTGTTGTGTATTTTTGGTGTCAGTATAATAATGCAAGTTATGCAAGGTGATAATGCAAGTCAGGCATGTCATATTATTTATGAAGAAAAAACAACTAAAGAAAAACAACTCAAACTAGACACCTCGGTTGAACAAGGTTCTATTCACACAATATTGCACATATAATAGCACTTCCTGAGATTCACTCAACATAGCCTCACATTTTCTTTTTCAAGCAAATATGCACCTCCCTATTTGAGGAAGATAAGATAATGTGCTATTTTTTTCATTTATATATTAATCTACTTTATATTGCATAGATGTACACTTTTTAATATAGCTTTGCTGTTCATTTAACATGTTTGCCTTTCATTTCCAGCTAAATATAACTCTGTACTGCATACTGTAAGTTATTTTGGATTTGACCAACACTTAGACTAGAGTCTCTACATTTTCACCTGTTAAATAAGACATTTTAGATGCTACCGAGTTGCAGTTGTTATTATTTCCCTATCGTTTCAGTAAAGCATGACCGTATGAAAACTAATGAAGAGCAGCAACAGACTTCCATTGTTTGCCTGTATTGAAAGGCTTCTTAGCAGAAAACGTTGGGCGAGGTGCCATTTGACGAGCACCTCTAGCAATAAGGGATGCAGGAGAGAAAGCTGAAGCTAAGCTGTCAC